TGGTAGTCTCAAGAACTCGATTGCAATCGAGTTCAATATATTTTTATAATTACAGATTAAGTAATTAAATTTTAAAATAGCTACTTCTTTAATGTTTCATTGACATCTATTAGCAATGTTCCATTCAAGTTAGAAAGCCTATAATTTCAACTTCAAGAAAAAAATTGCATGATTTATCAATAGCAAGATAAACTTGTAGCATTCATATATGATCATACCACTGCAAAGAGCAAACTAAAAGAACTATAGGATAAAATTCACATGGCTTAAAAGAAACAAGGTTCTTTTGAAGCCTAAAAAATTTTCGTCCAAGCTAGAGTCAAGGAATTGCAAGCTCATGACATTACACTCTAAGAGGCTCAAGCGGTATGAATATTTTTATATATTAAATTACAAGAGCATCTCAAAGATATAATACGTAGAATGCAGAATATAAGTAGAGAGAATCTACCTCCATCAAAGAAACAAAATCAAGATATATCTATCTTGACTTAGATCAATCTTATGGAGACAAAAGAATGAATAGTATATTACATGCTTGAGGATATATCTATCTTGACTCACATCAATCTTATGGAGACAAAAGAATGAATAGTATATTGCATGCTTGAAGATATATCTATCTTGACTTAGATCAATCTTATGGAGACAAAGAATGAATAGTATATTATATGCTTGAGGATATATCTATCTTGACTCATATCAAACTTATGGAGACAAAAGAATGAATAGTATATTGCATGCTTGCAGCCTCTTTAGTAAGGCCACATCTCAAGTAGATAGACAAAGGTGTGAATTCACTTCATTCATCACCTACATATACAATCAATAACAAGGACTACTTTCAAGTCATGGATAGTATGTCAGACCCCAAATTTGACATACTTACTATTTATGGCTATTAATTGATGCAATGGCATGGCACATAATACAACTTGTAAAGTTAGCTATGAAGCATGAGTTTAATAATGATGATAAACATTGTAGCGGCTTAGATAGTGAAATCAATAATATAAAAGAAATTAAATTATTAATATTGGATCATTTTGTCAAACATCCTCATTTTAAGGAGAATTTTTTTAATAATATCAAGTTTATAGATTACTTAATTTGTACAAAATCTATCTGCAATATGATTTTTAATATCTATCAATATGCATCAAAAATCCAATATAAGCATTATTATATATATCGCAAATTTATCCAAACCATTTTAAAATTATATGGTAGACAAAAACTACTCCACATGGAGTATTTTTAGATGCACAATCTACACCCAAAGATTTTCTTATGTCACAAACATCCTAAGGATAAGATGTAAAATATCTCAGAGAATAAAAATTTACTGACTCTAAGTACCTACACCTAATATCAAAGATGTTACCTATGTAAAGAGAATGTATCTACCATCTTATATTGTATTTGCACACAAAATATAAAAACTAAATAAAAATTATGAAATATATTAGAAATATATAAAAATATATATATATATATATAAAATAATTAGGTATTAAATTTTATCTATTTATTTATTTATAGATTAAAATAAATTAATAAAAATGTATTTAGAATATATATATATATATATAAGAGCAGAAGTTGAGTGACAAGCTTAAAGGAATAAGAATTGAGGCTTTGGACATCAAGTGGTAGTTTGCAACTTGTTAAGGGATGGATGATAAGATGCTTGGATGGCACATAGGAGGTCTCAAATTCAAATATCCATAGTAGCATATAGGGCAAGAAAAAAAATATTCTTTTAAAATCTTCAATTTATTTATTAAAGATATTCAAAGGATTTGCTCCACAATTCTTATATTAAAAAATTATATTGAATGATAAGGACACTTGTTAGCTATAGATGAGAGCAAAGAATCTCTCTTAATAATAGAATGATATGTGATGTCCATACCTTTTATATATTCATCTTTCTGATAGATTGGTATATAACTTCTCATATAAAAAAAAAAATAGCCTTAAGTTGGTAGTAGCTAAAGTGTGATAACATCAATCCTTTGGAATCTTCAATCCAGTTAAATAAAAAAACTTCAAATAAAATAAAATTTAAGATTTAAGATTTCAAAGTAGGATTTAGGATTGAAGATTTAAGAATAAGGTAGGATTTATAGATTTGAAAGGATAGCAATCTTCTTTGGAGAGAGATATAAGAACTTTCAAAGAAAATTTTGAGCTTTCTTATATTTTTTTTATAAATATTTAATAAAAATATTTTTTAATAATATAGAGAAAGAGTGAATTTATAAAGGATTTGTATTTTATTTAGTATTATGTATGTATTAAAAGTTTTTATAAGGAAATAAGGCAATTAGCAACAACCAAAGACCCTATGTTTTTTCAAGGCCATCTTTTATTCTATGACAATGGATGATACTTATCAAAATATCCATATGTCACAATATCAAAAGAATGATAAGTAAAGAGATTAGGCATCATTACAAGGTTTTTAACATTAATGGGGGATATAATAATGTATATAGATATTTAAGGATTAGAAAAAAATATTTAGAGAATAATAAAAAATAATATAATATATAGCGGATCCTAAATAGTAGCACCACAAGTTAAATAATATTGAGCTATAGGTCGTGTACTTCTTTAATTGTATAGTAAACTTTCTTTCTTTCTTTTATGACCATTGTAGGTATTGAGTCCAATCTTGGAAGGTTGTGTCTTATGCTTGCCAATAACCTCAATAATCCTAGTAACAATCAACAATACTTATTATATTAATTCTTGATTATTTCATATAAGTACTAATCATATTTCATATATTGTTAATTGCTACTATTATAATAAAGATTCTTTGCATATAATGAAGATCTAAAATTAAGTTAATATTATTTTATATATCATATAAAATTATAATAAGTTAGTTTTAATTTTTTTTCTTTTATCTAATATTAAAATTTTAATATAATATATTTAAATAAAATATATTTAATATAATTATTATAATTATTAATAAATTTAAAATATTTTTTTATATTTTTTAATTATTTTTTAAAATCCTTTTGAAGAATTCATAAAAACATGACATACAAGTCTCTATTGTATATCCAAAACTTACAATTATAGCAAGTAGTGATAATGTTAATCTATTTGGACATCAAAATTAAGATGATAGAAAAAGACTTTAAGATCAATAATAAAATAGATAAGATATAGGTCTAATTTTGCTCATAAGTAATGCCTTGTAATAGCCAAATATGACTAAATAATAAAAAATTAACCATAAGTTGGATAGTGCAACATCTCTATAAATGTACGATTGGTTTACAATGAGCCAAAGTTTTGAATATTGTATCAATGTTCATTTGTACTTATGTCATCTTTGATAATACATGGTATCTTTTATCCAAAGCTTTCTTACAAATTTTTTATATTATATAGCAAACATAGTATGGATTGAATGTAGAAAGACCTATAAAAACCAACATAAATATATCAATACTAATTTATAAAAGTTTTGTTTTAATATGAAACAAAATACATAATATAATTCTTTAAAATATATATATATGAATTATATTATATTTTTTAATTTTTTTTAAAAAATAATTTAATTTTAAAATAAAGTATTTACAACTTAATATATAGAATTTTTTGATGATTAATTTGCATTCAAATATAGCTTCAATTCAAACTTAGTTGATTATTTCTTTATAGAAACTACTTGCTCTTTTTATAAACTAGAAATAAAACTTCATAATGGTTAATTATATATATATATATATATATATATATATATATGTGTGTGTGTGTGTGTGTGTGTATGTGTGTTTATATATATATTTATTTATAAAAATAAATCTTCTTATCTGAAATAGATACAAATATGTAAATTAAAATATAAATAAAAATTCATATATAATAAAGTTTTACAAGTGACAATATACAACCACTATTTATGGTATGTTTAGATAGTCAAATTTCTTTTTTAGCAAATGTAATTTTAATAAAAGAATTTTATACTATGATATTGCATTTGTAAGTTTATAAAAATATTAATAAATTTCTTCATCTATCACAAATAAGATAAGTAAACCAAAAGAAGTACAAGTATTAAAATAAAGAAGATTTTGACAAAAATACATGTTTTAAAAATCTACATTCTTTATCACTAATTGTTTTTATTTTAGATCTTTTATTTTTTAATGATAAAGATTTATTTACTAATTTTAGACTACTTCACTAATCAAACTTATATTTTTAAAGAAAGACATCCAAATTATTTCTTAATAATATTTCTTATTATATATAATACAATTAAGAGATTTATTCTTAAAATAAGAAATATTCTAAAAGTATTTATCAAACTACCTTTATGAAATTATGAGCTTGCAATTGTGACAAACAAGACACATTCATGGATGAAATGCAATGTATACAATTGTAGTATCCAACAAGGTTGTTGTGATTGTATTAACATTAAAATTATGAACTTCTACAAATATTAATTCCAAATAATGTAGATGATGTGTCTTGATGTGATAGGAAAAAAGAATATTTCTATTTTTGATCTTCTCTTTCACAATACTTTAAAAGTAATATTGAATTAACACAAATAATTTTATCTTATTTAAATTTTGATGACACCTTTTCTAATAATTGAAGTGGTACATGAAAAAGTTGTCAAAAAGAAAACTAAGAATGCTAATGATTGAGAATATGAATAATAATATTTTTGGAAATAATTTGCTCAAAGCACATTTATTACCTATTTGTATAATATAGGCTTTAATTGGACAAGGTTACAAATAGGTATTGATAAGAAATTAATACGTTTATTATTATTATTATTATTATTATTATAAGAGGTTCTTCTATTTTAATCTCACAATAATAGAAACAAGAACAGCTTAAATTGCAAAAACGACTTCCTTATCTAAATGTTCTTTTTCTTTTTTTTTGTTCACATTATTTAAAAGAAAAAAGAAAAAATCCAATCCCAACATTAATTGTATTATATTCAACCAAATACGTATTAAATTACACTTTAAAACAACAATATGGACATTCATATTATTACCAAGATATATATTTTCATGGTAATACTATCACCATGAATACCCATATCATAGTAATAGTTAAGATCTACATACACTCACATGATAGTTTTACCATGAATATCCATATCATACACTAATAAATATTAACATAACATTTACTCATTTTCAAATAAGTATATTCAGATAAGTACATTTATTTATGTATTTATTTATGTATTTATAGAATGGGGGTGCGTATTCGTCCTGGCGGAGGATGATGAACGATTTTTAGGGCAAATTTCGATGGTTCAAGTATTTGAACGGGATTTGTCGAGGCTGCAGCGGCGATGGTTTCAGGGTTTCAGCAGAAGTAGTCATCAGACTCCTCTACGAAAGGGTCGTCAATGAGGCACAAGGGAGGGTAGCACAATGGATCCGAGGCGCCGTAGGAATTCCAACAGAAAGGCCGCGACGTGAAGAAATTCGCTTGCGCCGGCAGCAGCTCCACGTTGTCGACCTTGATGTTTCGGCAAGGAACCGTGTCGCTGCATGCGAAGTACACTGGAGCGTGGCATCGAGCCTGATCGTACGTGCCCCGGATGTTACTGTACGCTATGTCGCTGATGAGCACCGCTGCCGTATCGTTTTGGCACTCCTTGGCGTCGCAGTAGAATTGGTTGATTACAATAGGGTTTTGTACGTTGACGACCGTCACCGTGTCGAATGTTACGTGTTGGACCACGCCTGAGCCCCCCTGACGATCAGTGGCACGAGATTGTAAGCCCTTTTTGTCAGGAAGAATTGTCTTGGTTCCTTCTACGGTGAGTGAGGATCGGAAGACTTGATCCGACGTACCTGCCAAGTTTTTATTCGGACGCCGTTTTGCGTGTCTTTAATAAGGACGTCCTGGACAGTGATGTTGGAGACGCATGCTTGGCTTCCACCTTGTCCAAGCCCTCCTATGCTGCAAATCATAGGCCAACGAATGTAGTTGATGAGTGCTATCATGGCAGCGATTGAAGGCAGGAATAGGACGAAGCTCAGGATTAGGTGTTTGCGACAGGGGAGGAAATGAAGGTTTGAGGTCGGCGAACCTGATTCCATGGCCAGGGCCGCAAACAACGTCACGAATCGTCACATCTGTTGTTCCAGTTTGCAGCGATATACAATCGTCCCCTGCGTCACCAGATCAGCTCACTCACACGCATCAAACTTGGAAGGCTAGTGCTGACTTTTTATGTTGTGTTGACTGAGACAGAAGGGATCAGGTTTGGGGGCCAAACCTGCTCGAAATTAAGCTCTCGTACATATTTATTTGTTTGCTATGGGAAGAATCAGACATTACATATGGCAACCTCCCTTGCAAGGATGTAGAAATGAAGGCAAAATTTTGAGATACCTGCTGCGATGACGAGGTTCTGAAGGAGAGCATACCCCGTGTTCTGCAGATGAATGCCGTCTGTGTTAGGACTCCACCCTGGGGACAGAATGGAAACGTTGAAGACCTCAACTTGCTGGCAGTTGTCAAATTTCAGATGCATTTGCGGGCTGTCCTGGATGGTAATATCGCGCACGCTTACATTAATGCATCCATAGAACTTCAATGCCTGCGAAAACGTGAACATTGAGCATCGTTTCATTCCCACATTCGGTCTCATGCCGAATGTTGCAGTTCGTGGTTCCTGACTAAGTTAAGGAACGCAGACAGCAATAGTTGGACGCACCGTTGGGCTCGCACAGCGTTGTCTCCCGTGATCTGCAGCCTACGCAAATCGAGCCAACCTTAAGTCAGATCTACTATTAGCCTTGAAATTCTACGAGGTTTTTCGCAACAGTTTGTTGGTGTAATCCTACATACCTTGCAAGGTTGACTCCACCAAACTTCGCCCAGTCCATTTATTGCTCCAGAGCCTCGGAGCATCATGCCAACTTGCTTGTAGAACCCAATCCATTGCACTTTGTTTGACAGCTTGTTCCAGACGGCAAGATCGGTGGGCGGTATAATCACACCCTCAATCTGTCAAACAATTCATGAAACTATATTGACACGAATCGTTTCTTCCCAGTGGTTTCTCGGAGTCAATCAGTATTCTCTGGAATCATAATTCTTCATACACCAACCATGGCACTCGAATGAGATTGAATCATTTGAAGGTAAGATGTTAACCTGGAATGTGAGGTTGTGTTTGCAGGGCCCTTTGAAGGTGATCTGACCAACCACGAAGACGTAGTATGCTGGCACGACCATCACAGAAGATTCTGACTGACAAGCTGCCCTCCATGTCGCCTGAAATGCCTGACGCACAGGGCATTCCCATTATAAGTGATATTGAATATTTGCGAGGTTGACGAAACAGTGAATTCGTGCAAATACTCGAATAAATTCGTGACTACCTTGGTGTCATCCGTTATACCATCGCCAACCGCATTGAAAGCCATCACGTCGTAGGTGCATCCTTCGCCCATGCACGCCTTGCCTTCATGACTGGAGGGTCCCGGAGCACCCTCAACCCAGCCTGCATCTCTCTTATGATGCGGCACTTTCTTTTCGTGCGGTTTCTTCGCGTGGGGCGCTTTGTGGGCTTCGGAGGACGTGAAAGCAAACCCCGATGAGCGTTTGCCCAGTCTCGACATTGTGATTTCTTCAGTCTCTTGCCATGATCTCACTCTGACGCAGCTGGGGACGACCGCCAAAACATACAACAGACATAAAACTCTCCGTCGGTATGTCATGGCGGCTTACGGTCACTACAAGACCATCATGGAGTAATAATCAACACGACTGTCTTCGATACACATTTTCGAAGGACTCATGCTGATCACTGCAACTTCATTCCCTTTCATCTGGAAGCACCCGGTGGAGACTCCTGTTGCACCCTTCTATACACTTCGAATGTGTGTAACCGGTCGTGGAGACTAGGCCTCAATGACCTTGTGCAGAAGCTTGAGATGCAGAGAACCTTCGATTGAGATGACACTATTTGTAGAGTTGTCAATCACATCAAGCAGCAGGTGTGCAAAGAAATGATGCTTACAGAGAATCGATGATGTTCTCCTGTGACGACAACCTGGAATGAAATGCCCACTTGCAGGATGGATTCGATGCACCTGAGTGGTGGGTGTCCCTAGTGTCATATGATTTACCTCTCTTCACAACGTACTTCCATCGTACATGGCGCTTTTCGGAGGCTCAGGTTGACGGTTCGGACTGGGACACAGGTTTGAGAAGGGAGGCCATATGCATGTCCAATGAGCAACTGATGATGAAACGCACCTTCGACTGTCTTCAAAAGCAACACTAAAGATCAGGTTAATTCTGATTCTTGGGAGATCCTCTCTTCGATGACGGGCTGAACAAATCAAGATTCAGCCAACTGCCTGGAGATGAATTCTGTGTGCCATCCTGCCGCATGCACTAGTGACTCATGCGAAGACGTAGGCTGGTCATTTACTACGAGTATTATTCATGAGGTTACAGCTCCAATAAAATTAAATAAAACTACCACAGAAATTTTACTTATGTGGTGTGCAAGCGCGCGTCACCTTTGAAGACGGGATGCTAGTGAGTGAAATTTTCAACCTCTTCCATTGGCTAGGCAAATATATTAGAGAGGCTATAAAAACAGACCTCTCAACAACTGTGAATGTGCTGACAGTTACTGCGTCGGGTTAATAATGTGAACCGGAGCAATATATGCAAAAAAGGATTTACTCCACTGTGTTCCGATGAGGTTTGACAAAATCCTAAGTTGCCCGAGTTTGGCAAATGAGTTTGAGGTCTCATAAACTATATCGAGCTCTTCTAGCGCGAAAAATCCATGCCTACAATTCCATGACCATCCGATGATTGAAATTCATTGCGGTGATGTGTCCCAGAGCACGGTATGTCCCCGATAAGCTCCTGAGTACGAGGAAGAAGACAGTTAAAAAAGTATATTGCATTTACGATACTTTTCTACGCTATTTCATAAACTCCAAGCAGTCGTTGTCCTCCGCTTGTGAAGGGAGCATGCCCGGCAACATTGCGAGATGGGTGCCGAGGTGTACCCTTGACCTGGAGAGTGCACGAGATGGCTGCAGACGGCACAGGCAAGGCGTGGTGGCAATCGTCCTTAAGCGCTGACACCATTTCCCCGTACGCGCTGCAAGAGTTTCCAAACCATCTTTTCAAGGTCTCCGTGACACACTCAGGTTGAGGATGGATCAAACATCACGATCGGTGCCGTTGAAGGTCTATTCTCCCTGCACCATGAACATCGGTGCCCTGAAAGGGAGACTGGATGACGGAGTTAGTTGGAGCTTACAGTATTGAAAGTTTGTCGCTGGATTAGGTTGTTGCGTCAGACATCTATCAACCCATTAAACAGGGGCATTAACACGAGAATGAAGCTTACAGCAATTTAGTGCAGATGAATACGTAGATGTGCGAGAAACAACAAAAGCAGTGTATCTTTTTACACAGCGCTTCGAAGATTGGCCTGTCGATCTGCACAGCACAGGAATACAGAGTTTTACAACGATGAGTGGATTTCATAGGAATGTGGCTATGTATTCAACTGTTTAACATACAATACAATACTAGTAACTTGGAGAAGTTGGGCTGAAAACATTTCTTGTTCGATAAAATAAACAAAATAAATAAATAAAAATAAATAAATAAGTAATGTTACATTGTTCTCTTTGTGGCATCTACTTTGCCCTTTGAAGTGGCTATGAATTGAAATTTTCGAAAATGTTACGTATGGGTACTTTTTATTACAGCTTGTCCATGAATTGCTCAAAGAACCCGTGCTTATGAACATGTCTTCGAAGGTGCCCTACAGATTAACAGAATCTTCGCACAGAAATTGCGGTTCACAGTAAAACACCTGAAAACTCTCGGCTTCATCACGTAGTTAACGCTCTATTCCGCTTGGACTTGCATCTGGCAAATATAATAAATGGGATTTAAATAAATAAATAAATAAGTAACGTCATTCCCTGAAGTTAGTGACTGTGTGTTGTTAAAACTGCCAATCCATAAGTCACGAGAACAATTTCATCCTCGAAGTCACGACTCAGTGACAAGATTCAGCTGAGAATACGCTTCGCTACGTATATTCACACCGACACAAACTCACTTTCCAACCTCAGCACCAGGCACGATATCGGGCTTTGTTCATCACACGAATCCACCGACAAATTCCATCAATTTGACAACACTTGCGTAAGTAGCCACCGAAGAAACCACTGCACCGGATGCACTACCCGACCATGACACCACAACGCCACTACTTGCGAGACTAAAACCCGACCTCAACTCAGTTCGCGGCGCCGAGACGAGACTAGATTCATCACGAAGGTAGTGACTGACCTTCGAGGCAAAGCCCGAAAATTTCCAGGCACAGCTAAAGAATCAACGAAAGGTCTAACTGATACAAAGAGTGACAAGAATGCGGTGAACTCCACACTGCTGCAAAGACAAACAGAAGCATCAGAAGTTGCAGCAAAGTACACTTCACAACAGCGGCGAAGTTGTGCACATCCGATAACTATTGGGGATATCCTGTGTGAGACCCACACGCTCGAATTATTTGAAACTGGATTGCTCAAACTCACCAATTCTACGAGCTAAAATTGAACAGGCCATGCTAGAATTCTATTATCAACATTGCAGTCTTCGCATCTCATGGAGACGTCGAAAGCTTTCTTTGAGTATGAGCATTTTGATGCATTGATGTTTTGCACCGACACACAAGACATGTAGAAGTCAACGGGAGAATTTCGGAAGAAGGGGTCGTCACGTTGACTTGATTCGGCCTTCGCCACCTACATCGACACCGTTCGTTCCTTCCTTACCGACTGTTGGTTTGGAGGTAGCGGTTCGCACGCCATGGATCTCGAATTGCATCTTTCTTGGTTTAATTGCAATTGGTCCTATGCTTCAAGTTTGCGGGTTATTAATCTTCTAATCAACAATTTTTATTTTTTTTCAATTTATTTAAAATTTTATTTTGAGTAAATGACGAATTATCAAAGAATTAATATCTGAAAAGTCTTAAAAACAATTGTATACATGTGCTATGTGCTCAGGCACCAGGTTAAGGCTTAGCATGAAATGAAAAGGACTTTGATTGTTGTAGCATTAAATGTTGGTATTAATTTAAATAAATAAAATAATCAAAACAATTCAAAAAAATCAAAACAAAACAAAAAAACACCAACACCAATAAAAAGTTATGTGGTACAAAAAAAAGCATTCAAAGTGATGCTAATTATAAATGGTGACATTAATTAAGTTTTGATCTTGCACAAAAATTGAGTTCGTTTAAATAATGAAGAACTAAATAAATAAGTTTGTTGATACAATACTTATAAAAGGGTAAGTTCTTCAAATTACAAGATATAATAAAAAGTAGTGAATCTAAAAAGATAAAAATAAAAACATTTACACATCTAATGGTGAAATGTTCAAAATCAACCATAAAATAAATGCATAAATCAAAAAACATAGTCTAAAAATATACTTTATTATTTTTTGTAAAAATTAAATAAATATCAATTTTTATAACAATATTTATTAATGGAAGTATAATACAAAAAAATATGATTAAAGGAATAATATTTTTTTATGGTTAATCAAAATATTTTTAAAAAATGTGCCAAAAGACTTAGAAAGACCACATGTTCCATATAATATGATTCTTTAAAAAAAACTGTTAATATCTTTTTAGATTAGAAAATTTCATGTTGACACTTATAAATTTTATACATATCAATTTTAAACTAGACATAAAATAAAGTTTTAAATTTATACAATACATATTTTAGTAAAGTTAGAGAGATTAGGTAACTATTTTTAATATCTTGCATTTGCTTTAAGAAGACTGAAGATTAACAAAAAATTAATATTTATAAAAATAAAATAATTATAATAATAATAATAATAATAATAATAATAATAATAATAATAATAATAATAATCTAAGATATTTTTTAGAACATATTATGAAAAATAATAGCATAAAGTATACACATTTAAAAATATTAACAATGTTTAATTTTAATATCATATATCAATTGAATTAAATTAAACTTTAATATAAAATATAAATAATAATTTATTATTTTACTAAATAATTCAAAGAATTTTTAGGTATAAACCTTCTTTTTATTGCATGGACACCCTCATTTTATTATATGGATATTCTATGTGCCACACATTTTCATATATACACAATAAAATTATTATTTATATTAAAAAGTTTTAGAATTAATTTATACTAAGATATTTTTTAAATAAAACTAATCAATTTTTTTAAGTACATCAAAAATTACATAATATGTATTATTAAATTTTATTTAAATTAATAAAAAATTTAAAATATCATAAGTTATTACACATAAAATTTATAGTATATCTATTCTAAAACTTTTTAGTATAAATAAGAGTCTTAATTTGTCTATATAAAGCTATGGAGCATAGAAAGATATCTACATAATAAATAGAATGTATCCACTAAGTAGTTTCTTAAACTTATCATATTATGCACTCAATTTTATAAGACTAGATACATGAGTAATTTTTATCATAATAATTTAAATTCTAATTCAATTATTCTTTTATAATTATAATTTTAATTTGAATAATAAATATTTATAATATTTATAATATTTAAATATATTACATATCTATAATAATAATTTTAAAAGATTTATTATTACAAACATCCATATTTATTACAAAAATCACATAGATAATACAAGTAGGTAAAAATAAATAATTTTAATAATATCTTATAGAAAAGCTTCTTAGAAGCTTTATAGATATAGTTTTGCCTTTATATGTGTCTATAGGTGATTGGTAGGTTGAAAATTAGGCCAACAAGTTTGCCACATATTGCATATGTTTGTAACTTGTAGTGCAAGTTTGACATGTGGGGCACATATAGGAAGCTTGTCTTATAAGTTAGATATGTGTCATGTGAATTAGATATGTATTAGAGATCTTACATAACATCACCACATAGCTCCTAATTAGATAGTATAAATAAAGGCAAGTAAGGCCTTCCTCACTTTTGTCAATTCTTTTCTTGTTTCTACTCTAGTTTCAAGGGCCTCTTGTTTTCTTGTCTTTTGACAATAGCCACTTCAATTATTTTTTTAATATACATATTTACTTATTTCTTTATTTTTTCATCTTTCTTTGAGAAAAGACTTACTTGTTTATTTGCATTCATCAAGTTCTCATCTTTGATATTTATTTGCATATATTTTTGTTTGAAAAGTTTGAACTTGTATTAAAGATTTTTCAAGAAGAAAACTTACATATAATATATTAAAATGTATACATAAAATTTAATATATTCAATTATTTATATATATATATATATATATATATGCATATTTTATATTCTTTTTATATTTAGTTTTTTTTACAATATTAAGATATGTTGTTGATTAAATGTATAAATTATTTTGTAATATTGTAGCTTATGAACACTTTTTTATAATAGAATATTTTATAAATAAATTTTGAATGTAATATATTTCAAAAACATAAAATATTTATTTATAAATCTTAAAATAAAATGAAATTTAAAAAATCCAATATTAGTTTTTTTTTAAGATTATCATTAAATTAGAAATGTAAAATTAACATTCATACTTATTAGAAAAGGTGAGAGGCAACAACTTTTAAATCCTTTCATAGACTAAAGTTTTAAAATCTCATTATGTTGCTTATAATAAGATAAATTACCTCAAAAATTCCAAGATAAAAAGATAAGATGGAATGCATTTTTTTCTAAATAGAAATAAGAGAATTTCCACCTAAAGATTATAATTAACTCACGTCAATAAATAATTTTTGTAAAAATATTTAAAAAGAAAAATCAAGAATTTATTGTAGTTGCCATAAAAGTAAAAAATAAAAATAGTAATAATTTTCTATTTGTTGTAATCCTTAGTATTAAGAAATCAGCTAATATATCTAGACCCAAAATCAAATTAACAGTAATAAGTTATTTAGATTTTTTTTGTTGCCTCTTTTTACTTTATACTATGTCCAAAAATCAAAATTTCTAATAAAGAATCTTTCTTCACCAAGTGGAAGATCTTCATAAGCCTTCCCTATCATGGCCTTTTATAATGGCCTTCTATATATAAAAACCTCCTAAGTTTTAAAATTAAAATTTTGCTACATCTTAAAAAATACAAAATATATATATATATATATATATATATATGAAAACATATACTAAGTTAAATACTATAAAGAATAGAATATTTACAAAAAATAATATATCAAAAATAATATATCAAAAATAATATATCAAAAATAATTTATTGTAAATGATATGCACTACATAACATTAAGGTATACAGAAGTTCACAGTGGATTTTTTGAATCAAAACTACAGGTAAAGGCTTCAACTTTAACACCTTTGGTTGTGAGAGAATAAATTGGATAGAAGGAAACAAGAATCATACATGTCAATACCAAATTCAAGATGTATCAAGGAGTAATACACAAAACAAAGTTCCACGTCTTGAAACATGTATCTCTTAATTACTGTTAAAAACTCTTTTGAATCCAGCTGAAGTATAATAACATCAATAATAATAAAATAACAATAACAATAACAATTACCAAACAATTCTAAGTGCACTTGGAGCATGCTTTGTTTTGAAGAATGGTGGAATCAGTAGGGTCTGTGCAGCCTCACATGGGATCAGCAACATGGGTACTTCTTTGCATGGCAACAACAAAGAAGCTGGCATGAATGCAACTACCGCGTTCAAAGAATTACCTCCACCATGGATCTATGAAGAGAATCCCACCCTGTTTTGTACACTGCAACACTTGTCATCAAGGCTCAGGCCCCTCTCATCCTGTCATGCTATTCAAGCAAATCTGCAACTCATAGAGCATGAATTCTAATCTTGAGCTCATTCTGAAATAAAAATGAAACTGATGAAAATAATAAAAATAGTAGAAATGATTATCAAAAGAATCCAAAATGCAAATGTAGAAGTACATAGGCTCCCATGGATCTTTCCATAGTGAGAGTATGTTGTAGGGAATTAGAGTTGAACACATACATACTTGCTCTGAATGTAGTCAGTTCCATTTGAATCCCAACACTCTTTGGATATTCTATTTAATGCTACACTGTAATTGAGAAAATAGTTTCTTCTTGAAACTCTCAATTTTCAAAACTAAGTTGCTTGCGCTTTCGCCCACTTGGTGGTCGTTTCGATGGTAACGAATTATTAGATTGTGATACTTTTAGAACTCAAGCTCACTATGGTTATGAAGCGCATTGTTTCTACAAGGATTGTGATGAACCAGATTGGGTTGTCATGAACAGGATGTAAAATATAGCAATCACCCTTTCCAGTATGAAGCTCAATGCTCAGACAAAAATTTTGAACCTCCCCAAATTTGAGGAAGTTGTTTGATAATGTTTTCATACAATTTTGAAAAGTAGCTACAGAGAAGAATGCACTGCACCAGACAACTGGAACACTGCAAAATACGCAGACACTGTTAGGCGTCTCACCAACGCTTGCCCATCTCTAAACCTAGGCTCTGCAAAATATTTGTACAGTAAATCTTGACTTTGACCCTTCTGTCCTTTAGCACCTTTCACGTCCGAATAGAACCTTGAGGTGGGGACAAAGGCTTGGTCAATATCACGCTCCAGCGCTGCACCTGCGCATGGAAGAAGCTTCATGGAAATAATTGGTGTGAAGCTTTCTATACTCAAGAAACGGAGGCTACAGGCTGATACTCTGCATCTGCAGGGTCGTCCTACTGTTGGCTTCGCCTACCCTATGCTCGCAGCGTCAGACTGGAAGGTGCACATGGGAGCAGAATCGACGTTAGGTCAGATCCCAGAATAGTCCAGCCTATCTGCGAGATAACGGAAAGTCAAGGCCAGGGGCCACTCGTGTCAGAAGCACGGTGGGGCAGGACACTATTAGGTGGCCCATATGAGCGTCGGACATATATACATCGCAGTGACGTCACTGTTTAAAATACCTGACATACTACAGCACATGCTAATCAGAAGTATGAGTACGGAACCTGTGGAGCTGATCACATGGCTTACAGCATACAAATGCGTGATTAGACAAGAGGATACAGGGGGGATCATGATAATGTTTCCTATGAACTGCAGGTAGACAAACAGCAGCACGAAAGCGCGGCATCGTAATGGAAAATGACCAACGACACCATCAACATTTCATTTGAAGTAATAAATCCCTGCAACCAAGGCATCGCAGGACCCAAACTGAACCTGTTGTCTACATATAAACTCTAATTCCATTACTAAATACAAGCACAGTAATACTCAAAGCATCACACAAACTACAGGAAGAAAACAATAACAAAATATTTCCCATAAAGACAAGAAATCACAAACATTGGCTGTGTGTATAAAATATAACAGCCACGCCGAGAAGGAAAAAAAATCGGAGGTAAGAAATGAATCTGTTCTAAGAAAAACCTGGAAGAAAAGACCTGAGAAAAGCACCCCTAATAGTCCTAACAGAGTTCCCGACCATAGGGTAATAGAGCACTGACTAAGCATTTTTAGTTACAGGATGTTGCACTGCTGGCATCATGTGAACCTTCATCCAATAACCAACTTGAGCATAACCTGAGCGAATTGATGGAGCTCCCTTCATTTATACAAAGCCCGTTACTCATAAGCTTGGTCAGAACAATATTGAAGCCTCGCTGTCCATCCATACGAATTTGCGGGGCCGTGACTTGATTTGATCATCAATGCTAAAGGTGATATAGTCACGTTGACGAGCGCCCCGTATCAATCTAAGAATCGTGATGAAAGCGAATTACGACACAAGTAATATTATCGGCGCTACCCTTTTCGTAGGCTTCTTCCGTCAACCTCTTCGCAGCCTCTTCAGCATTCTGAATATCCTTCACCATGGCCACAGCATCCTATATTCACAACCCACGAAATGAAGTATTTAAAAAGTTGATTAGAATAAACCTCCAAATGAACCTAAAAGCAGGTACACAAAAAGAGGTTCGGGGTGATTTGATCAATTTCTATGTACAATTAGGTTATCAGGAGTACATTGGTAAAGCACTGAACACTTCATTTGAGAAATGGATAAATTGACGAGTTCGGCCTAGGCACAGATCTACAGGTGATAAGAAGCTTCTTCTGCAGATGGCAAAAAGACTTTTGACAAGTATTAAATAACCAGTGCTTAGGTCCAGTGGGCATATGCATTCACTCTCTAATCAAAACAACGAGAAGAAGAGCCAAGAAGCAAACCTGGTTTGATACAACATCCCACAGGCCATCACTGGCGAGCAATAAAAACTCGACTTCCTTGGTTACTAATTTTTCCTGCATAAAAAAAAACAAGTGTAAATGAAGCTGCATAGAGCTGTTCCCAAATCCATTAGAGCCACTTGTTCTGCAACAAAATAGACATCCGTAGTGAGGAGGTAAACGAGAAACTTTGCGCTCCACCTGAATTTCTGGCTCAGCGACTACATATTTTTTCAGAAGGCGGTCCCCAAATGCCCGAGAGACAGCAAGAACACCACCCACACGCCAAGTGCCTGCAACAGCGAACACCAAGGTGAGGCGATGAATACTCATACGGAACAAATTTTACAAAATTTGCTTCAAATCCCAAATACTTCGAGCTTCTTAAGTAATCTTCGGTACAGACGAGATACGTGACTCACCAGACCACATGACTACTCCACCAGATTTCTCAATTCGTTCCCGTTCATCATGTCGATTGGGCTTGTGGTCAGTGGAAAGTGGAAGGGCTGAAGCCAACGCCATAGTCAAACATTGAGGTCAGAACTGATATCTAACCAGCGCATAAAGACGAAGGTTAGATTGGAACAGCAAATTCCGTCTAAAAGTCCGGTACAATCTTAGAGAATCTATTTTTAAATTAACGACCCGACACGGCACGAATGCGGCCTACGTAAAGGCATTCTGCAACACAATTGTACAAAAGCTGCTTTTGAATTGACGACACGACACAGCCTGAACGCGGTGTACGACAAAGCCATCTAGGTGTAAACTTCTTTCTGATACATAAAGCGGTGCTGCTCATTGTAAAAAATGTACAACATACTAAATTCTCAGTTTCTTACAGTGGTGTCATGGTATAGCACAAAGCTCATGAGAAGTCGCACGATTACCTTTCCCTCCAGTACAAAGCACCGCTCTGGAATCACCAACATTGGCAACAAGTAAACGATCGCCCACCAAAACGGCCGTGGAGGCAGTTGACCCTGCATCCCTATGTTGATTGTGATCTGCTTTGAGATACTCTTGATCCGTCATATTGTACGTCTCAGCTGCAAAACCACTTCCACAGCTTAAATGCATATACTCCCCGAAACCCATCAAATAGAATTGGAACGACTCGATGGAACCACTTCCCCATAGCATTACAGTATTTAAGACAGGACTGAAGTACTGTGACAAAAATACCTATCAGAGATAAGGTAAAACAAAATACTTTCAGAATAGAATCTGAGACCAGATGAACTAATGTAGCTGCTAGCGAAGTAGATCCAATCCACAAATATACACCTTAACAATAATCGCAAGGTACAAATTACAAGTAGATTAGAAAAGGTGATCCGAACACCCCATACCAATGGCGAGCCTAGTGTCGGTCACAAATGCAGGGTGATTTCGCAAATTCTTGAAAAGATTCTGCTTCACATAATCAGCTGCCCGGGAGCCACCGTGACCTGCAACAACACCATTACAAAAGGTAAATGAATTTTGAATCTAAAGCATTCTCTACAGAATCGAGGAGATTAAGGAAAAGGAAGTTTAAAATCGAAATTAAAATCAAGTACAAAAAGTGATGAAAGAGGAAGAAGAAAAGGAGAGCGTTTGAATTAAAAACATTGCTACTTAGTGCAACTCGGGCTTACAAGGGTTGGACCTCGAGAGGACCTACCCAAACTGACGTGAGAACAAAGACCTGCTTCAGATCAAGTAAGATCAACTAACCATCAAAAACGCCGAATAATCCAACCGTCACACCGTCAACCTGTGATATCTGGGCATCAAGGAAATCCTCCATTGAGGCTCTCTTTCCACGCAAACTTGAAAAGCCATAGCTAACCTTTTTATCTTCACTGCACATGACACGTACGTTAGTTAATAAGATAATCGACAGTATGTTTTGTAATTCGAATGCTTGTAGTTAACTTTTCCACGTTTCAGTTTCTGGGTTCAAAGAAGAGACTTGGAGATGGATAGACTTTCCAGACAAGCATATGCAACACCTAAGCAACAGCAAATTCTGAAATCCCACGCAGCTCACTAATCCACATGTGCAAGGCTTGTACTGAAGTGTTCTACCATCGCAATCAAGGAGATGAAGTTGTTCCGGGTAAGACTGAAGCTCTCAGCACTAAATGAGCTACAGATTAGCATTACAGGAAGTTCAGTAGACCAAGGTCATTTCGAAATGAAGACCGACACAACTTTTGCTTATTAACATAAACCATGAACAGGTCCTTGTATACAAAAGGTGTGGCCACCCATTGCTAGGCGATAAGCAGAAGTACCCATTGAGAAGCATGATTGAGCGCGTATTAAAGAAAAGACACTTCGGAGTACATCAACAGCAGCATAGGCAGAGTGGAGCTAATCAGTGTTTCAGCAACGACTGCGAAAAGCGCGAAGTCCAGAATTAAACGACGAAAACCATTCAAAAACCTGACAGTGACTGGGAATACGACGGCATCAACTTTTCTTCTGCCCTGCGATGTTAAGATAAAGTTTTCCTACTTTCCTGCCCCCCTCAGGAGCAATTCTAGGAAAAACCTGGAATACTTCTCACACCAAGGGTCCTAGAGCCTAAGAAAACGCACTAAACCGCACCAAGCTCACATTCAGGAGCAACTGAAGGGTCAGTACGATACTAGAAACGAAAGACTGAAAGAGAAAAACGGACAGGCAGGTTAAATTGAAGCGAACCTCGATGGGCTAAACCTTGCACAGAGAAAAACACGTACTAAAGCGCGACAGAGTAAACCCTACATAACTTGAACATGCACAAAGAACACACTACTTGAATCCTGCACCACCATTTCCTCGTATGAGCAGCTAATTATGAGTCACGATTACACCGACACTGATCCAGTTCCAACCACCACTCCGCGGAAAATCCTCTCCCGTTTCGCCTCACTCTTGAATCCTCACAACCAGATCATGACACACAACACCATCCCTTCTTATAACACACGGTCCATAACCCGAGCCGAAAGAAGCGGGTGCATCCCGATCAAACTCATCATGAAGAACCGCTACACTCAGCAACGCACTGGAACCGCCTACACACCACACACCGCTCTAAAGTCACAATCAAAAACCACGCAAAACACACACACACACACACACAAACAGACAAACAAACAAACAAACAAACCTTTGACCGCCTCCGCTGACAGGCACACCTCCCTCCCGGTGCAAAGGGTTCAAACTATTGAAAACATTCATGGTCTCAGCCGATGATCGCAAGCGCCCCTAATCCGTGGTCTCTTGTTTCATGCTCGTCACTAACTCCTCCTTGTCGCAAGTTGCCTTCCTTTGAAACTCCCTCTCTCAAAAACACCTTGTTCTTTCAACTTCTCGCCTCAAAACTTAGTAGCTCCTGGACCGCCCCGGAACTGAGTCAGCCTGAACGAGTACCGCACAGCACACAGCACGACGCACATCGGCTATTCAACAACAGCAGCAGCAGCAGCAAAATCGACACAGAAATCGACCCTACGTTGCGAAGACATGTTAAATGGGGAGGTGTCGGGAGGGTTTGGTTCGAAAGAGGGCGGAAGGAGATGAAGCAACGAGGCCGGACCGGGCCGGGCTGGGCCAGGGACGGGATTGGGGGCCACTGAAACCCGACCCGAGATGCGGATGGTCCCGCCTTGCTTTGACTCTCCCCCTGTACCCGGGTGAGGAAAATTTCCAAGGCCGGGCTGACATTTTAAAATTCAAATTTGATGATATTGACTCCCTCTCACTGTTCCCTCCCCCACTCCCCCACTCTAATTACAATAATAGTCTTGCCCCCCAACCCCCTCAACGGTTATCAGCCCCCGGTCCGCCTCGGGATCCTATTCCGTCCCCATAATTGCCCCCCTTAACCGCCTACCGAGTGGATGCCATCCCCCTCGTTTGTTCGTTCATCTCTCATTATAATTACATTCGTCCCTCATCCTTACTTCATTCATCATTCCGTCGGTTTTTAGAATAAATTGCATTACGAAGATTTTACAAACTTATAAATAATCACAAAGAATAATCTTTCTTAATGTAAAAGATCAACAATTTTCCACTAATGATACTATCCCAAAGTAAATGTTCTTATGAAAGGAACAAAGTGATTTGTGTATATTGGTATTATTTGTAGAGTTTGCAATTATATGTCTTGTTTATTAATAATACGTTGTATATTTTCTTCAGTTAATTCATATGGAAAATTGATTCAATAGAATTGCAGGATCTACACATAATGGCTTATCAATGGAATGTTCTTTTTAAGTGTCTAGATATAACAAAAGAACAATAATTTGATGGCATTTGCATGCATTGCATTATCATATATACACCCTTACACTTATGTTATGGAATGCAGTCTATTGTACATAAATATGCAACAGGCACAAATTTGTTTTATGGTGCAACGTTTGATTAAAATTTTAAACAAAATTAAAATATTTTCATCAAAAAAATATATATATTGATTCTAAGAATTTTTTTAATTAAAATTGGATATAATAATAACATAGAATATTATTCATCAAAACAGTTATTAATTCATCACCATTGTGTGCACATATTGTGCTTCATCATTTTATGAAATGAATATATATATAGATATATATATATTTATATAGATAGATAGATAGATAGATAGATAAATAAATAAATAAATATTAAAATTCCATGTTTGAAGAGTAAACCGAGTTCCTGAAATATAATATGATATTATTAATCATTACTTATACATATATATATATATATATATATATATGTATTTATATATCTTTTAGAGTATTTGTATGGTCTCTAATTACTCTAACTAAGATAAACAAATTCTGTGTTATGATGTTCTATTTTAAAGTTATTTAGGTAAATGTGAAAATCTCCATTATTCTAAAATATACGTCAATTTGTTTTCTTGAAGTGGTGTAGGACTTCAAGACATATTATACCAAATGCTGTTATTAATTGTCTAGCATATAATTGTTAATAATTATTTCTTCATTTCACCTATTGTTTTATTTTAATATCTAGAGAACGGATTATTTGATACACACTATTTTTAAAATTATTCTGAAAAAAATTATAAGAAAATTGAGTTCTTTTTTAATGCAATATTTATGTATATGCTCAATTAAACCACAAAAAGTTTGATAACTAATTCTTATTACACAAAAATAAAATGGTAATATGCAATAAGCGTCTAAAGGTGTGTAAAGTTTGTACTTTTAAATGCATAAAACATTAACAACAATAGTTAAAATTTTAAAAGAAATACATGTGATGTGTTGAATGATACAAATTGTTCAATAGAACTTAGGATTTTATTTCTATTTTGAACTAAAACATATAGACAACTATAGAATAATTAATAATAAAGCTTAAAAAATAAACTTTGAATATTTATTTCAAAATTAATTTCGTTTGGGATTTTATAATTTGAAGTAATAAATTATAATAATGCTAAAAAAAAGCGCCCCTTTCTTTGCTTTATTTTTTGTTAGGTATGAGAGCTAAATTAATTAATTAATTGTTGGATATGAGAGCTAAATAAATAAAAGATTTTTTTGGGTATGAGAGCAAAATAATTTATTTTATTATTATTTACCTTGTATCATTATGGAAATAATTTACTTGTTTCAAAATTCGGATTCAATAAAACTTCTATGACCAATTTTGATTCAGTTCAATAAAACCTCTATGACTAATCAAAGTACATGGATTTATGGGAACGAGTACACACATGCTGTTACAAATTGTCAAACATAATCATCTTATCTTAAAACCTTTATATTCACAATTTTTTTTCGGAAATATAACCTTTAAATTATTTGAAAAAATATATCAGCTAGGATTTAAATGAAAATTGACTGACATCTTGAATCGTTAATTTAAAAGTGAAACATGCATGTATTTAAACGATTCAATTAACTAAATAACGTAAAGTAAAGAAACTTAAAATGTACCTGCATTTTTTAAGTTTGTAAGCAATTTTTTAAAATATTGTTCAACAAACAAAAAAACTCAATAACTTTATACATGCTTCCAAGCCATCAATGTTTCTTACGATCTTTTTGTAATTGCAAGGTGGTTAGTTCTTTGATACTTGTTTTGAAATTTAATCATCAAATGACACAAAATCTATACATACATAGTATTTTTTCTGCTGGATTATAGACGTCTGTAAAAACAAAACTATTAATTCATTACAATTTACCTCTAAATTCTTTTGAATCTCAACTGCAATTGCTTCTGAATAAAGGATACAAAAGCAAAAAGAAAAAAAGAGATTATCCCCACATCGACATTTCAATGTGTTTTTTAAACTATCAATGATATGTACGTTTGTGCATAGAATTAAAATTGAAGGAAAAGGAAAAATAAAACTTCAATGATATTTTTAACACTGTATTTTTTCATGGCTTGATGCAATTTTCTTAAGTAAATACTGTTTGACTTGCTTTAGTTACGATTACATTTATGCCATGTCATCTAGTTTATTTTTATTTTTATTTTGGCAATTTAATGAATTATGTCTACGTTACATTGTTGTCAATCAATTTCTTCTAATATATAACTCCCAACCACCCAATAGATCATTTGTAGTTAAGAGATTCTTCATACGTTTTGTACCCATCTCCTAAAACATAATCTTCTGATGTTTTTACTAAAATCAAACTTACATACCATTTTGGAACCCTAAAACAACCACCATTCATTCCACATAACATCAATTCTTATTCAATAACTCTCAATACACGAATTTGACCTTTCCCGAGGACGAAACCTGAATACTTGTACTTATCCAAGACGAGCATTATAAAAAGCCTTCCTCCACTTCAAACAGCCAACAAGAAATAAAGAGAACAGTGCTTCAATTTAGGGTTTCATAGATTTTAGGGTTTCAAGGCAGACTCCGGATCGGGTTGGTAATGCCGCGCGCATGGCGACGTGCATCGCCGTGGTCCCCATCACCGTGGTTCCCGAGTTTTGCCTGAGGAATCTGGTTGTGGCCCACGGCGTCGCTAAAAATTTGTGCCGAAGTACGAGACGGAGAGATTGTTTGCCAGATTAGAACGGTTATCGCGGTAGAGTAAGTTCGAAGAGTCGGGCGCAGCCATTAGCTTGCCCTTTTTTTCTTTTTCTTTTCAGTGCCGTAGGCGTCGGACAGAGCGTCTGTTGGCTGACGTCGTTGCGTCGACGGTATTTCTGCACCGCTCACGCGTGTGCTTGCTGTGAGCTTTGTCCGAATTCAAGTCGCTGGAATTCCTTACCTTCACAATAAGCCCATGACTCTCGTGAAATGCCTTCATGAGTTGCGGATCGCTGTAAAATTTTCCATTCTGAGTTTGTGGAGTGTGCGATGTCTTTTGTTGCCTGGAAATCTGTCTGGGAAGCAGGTTATGGATCTTGAGGTTTGCAACATGAGCTGATTGGTTTGCTTTCGAACGGAATTTTGGTTGATCCTACTTCTCTGTGCTGGTTGCTATGTCTTGATTCTAAGCTGCATGTGAGGATTCAATTTTTTTTATTGCCTCTATGGTTTCTGAACTTTCGTGCGTACTTGAATTGATCGCTACTGGGGAATTTGTGGTATATCTCGAAGATATCACTTGGAATCTGAATCTTGGACGGGCTTTTTAGAGCAGTGGAGGTAGTGAAATGGTCTTTGTTCTAGGGTTCAAGGTGGGAGTGGGTGGTGGGTTTGTTAAATTTGTCATTGTAGTGTTGTGATTTTTAGGTCACGATTAACCTATCGTGGAGTCGCAAAGGTTAGGCGGGGCTGGGTATTGATTTGGGTTTTGCCTTGATGTTTGAGTGCAGTTTTAGGATTTAAAGGGTGGTTCTGCAGTGTTGGAGAGTTGCTGCGTTTACAGCATGGGTGGGGATACCCAATCGCCACTAAATGGCGACGTGCACGAGTCTCTGGAGGCCTTGCATTTGGCGGAGGGAGATAATGGAGCAGTAGAGGACAACGGATCAGCTCCTGGTGCGGTGAGTCTCGACTTTCTCTTTCAATTGAAGGGTGCGTGCACATGTCGCTCGTTTAAGGGTTTGGACTGAGAGTGGAATGGGTTTTTGTCAGGATGCGGCGGCAGTGGCAACGAAGAAGAAGAAGAGAAACAAGAAGAAGACGAGCAATGGAGCGGGGAGTGCAGTTGATGTCCCAGAAGCCGCTGCCAATGTCCCGAATGGTAACAACGCAGATGGTGCCACCCCAGGCGATGATGAAGAAGATGAGGCTGGGGGTGATGGTAAGGCTCTGAACAATTTTGCATGTGGAAAGCCAGTAACATCTGAAAATGGAAGCGAACTTTGTTTTTCATGAAAGAGAAAAACGTTTGAGCTATGGATAGTTCGGAGTTGTCACATTCGTGAATTGTCTGTGCAGATGTCACAGAAAAGAAAAAGAAGAAGAAGAAGCCTAAGAGCAAGTGAGTACCCAATTGATGTGTCACTGAAATTGCCGCAGACTTGCTGTGGAATCAGGTCAACCCGCGTTGGAGCAATTGAGCTGTCACGAACCGTCGCTTAAGGGTTCTATTACAGACGTTGCCTGCATTCATTTGTTTGTGCCTATTTGCAATGGCTTTCTCCGCTAACCTGAGGAACGCAGGAAGAAGAATAACGTGCTGGAGCAGACGGACCCTCCATCCATTCCTGTGAAGGATTTGTTTCCTTCAGGAGACTTTCCTGAGGGGGAAATTCAGCAGTACAAGGATGGGTTAGTTTCGCTAACTTCTGTTGGATACATGAATCATTCACTATTTGCGTTTATGAAATACACAAATGAAATTGGCGCCACTTTCCAGGCTCGAAGTGATGCTCTTACATTGTTTGTGAATTGAGATGGATACTTTGCATATGATAGTCTAGTTTTGAAGAATCTAATTCCTGAACGCGCATGCGGAATCCGTGCAGTAATTTGTGGAGGACAACTTCCGAAGAAAAGCGTGAGCTGGAGAGGCTAGAGAAACCATTGTACAATGCCATCCGTCAGGCTGCCGAAGTGCATCGTCAGGTTTACAATCTATGACTCTATGTTGGTTTTGGATGCCGCAACGCGTCGTGGCTAGATTGTTACATACGAGAAGGCCGAAGATCTCTCGAGCGCTCTTGCTTTTGCTTGGACAGTTGTGAAATTTTCCCGTCACTTTACACGACGGAAGTAATCCAAATAAGCAACCCGTGATTCAACGAACCAATTGTTATAAACGAGAACCTAATTTGGTAGCAGGTTTCTGATCAAATAAAGCGAAATCGTGCTTGCTGAACCAGAGTGTCATTCAGGATTATGCCATCCTCAGAGAGTTTTTCACAGCAGTTGGTGTTCTGACGTGCAGGTGCGGAAGTACATCAGAACGTACGCCAAACCAGGGGTAGCCATGGTGGATTTGTGCGAGACTTTGGAGAACATGGTGCGAAGGCTTATTTCGGAGAACGGGCTGAAGGCCGGCATCGCCTTTCCTACGGGTTGCTCCTTGAATTGGTACCAGAGAAGTGAAACGCTGACCTCCGTGAATCATGCTGTAGTACGAACAGTCGTGAGTTGCCCTGTGGTGGTGTGTGTGGTAAGGCGTAGAGTGGGCAATGGTGATGTGTGTGTTTACGGGGAGTGTTGGCATTGGGTGTGGTCCTGGTAGGGTGGCAGCACATTGGACTCCCAACTCCGGAGATAAAACAGTGCTCCAGTACGACGATGTGATGAAGTTGGATTTCGGTACACACATAGAAGGTGAGTGATAAGCTGGTTTGGGGAGATGGGTGTTGGGACGTGTCACGTAATGTGGATGTGAAAGTGCGATGGTATGGTTGAGGGGTGATGGTGAGATAGTGAGGCGGGGTATGAATGAGTTGACGCGGCGAGAAGAAGCTCCCGGTGAAGCAGGCATGGATGGTCGTTGTATGGAAAGGTACAGTGAAGTGTGAATCGTGGAGAAGCGAAAGCTAATACCCGTGCGAGGTGCAGATTTGGTGGTTGATGAGCAGTGCAGGTGAAGGGTTTTCTTTGTGGAGTTGCGATGTGGAGGTGTTTTGTGCAATGGGAGTGTAGGGTTGAGGCATTTTGGGGAAGGTTTTGGGTTGCATGGTGCGTGGCGAGTGTGGCTTGAATGAGAATGTGAAGAGTGGGGTGGTTGTTGTGGTGGTGAACTCAGGGCGGATCGTTGACTGCGCGTTTACGGTGGCATTTAATCCACAGTTCGATCCTCTGCTGGAAGCGTCACGAGAGGCCACAAACACTGGAATCCGGGTACTGCTCTGGACGAGGGTGTTTTGGGATTGGGTGCAGTGAAGGAGCATGCGTTGGTTGGTCGGTGGTGAGGTGTGGATACAGGATAGGTTTGGTAGGTTGAAATGGATTGGCATGTTGATGCGGAGGATAGGTTGGTTGTATGTGTGTTTTGGGACGCGAGGCCGTGTGATCTGAGGGAAGGAAGTACTTGTGGGTGAACAGGAAGCTGGAATCGACGTTCGGCTTGGTGACATCGGGGCCGCCATTCAGGAGACGCTAGAGTCTTATGAGGTTGAGATCGGAGGGAAGACATTCCAAAGTAAGTGATGGGACGGTTTTGTGGGTGGTGACGATGGCATGGTTGTGGTTGTAGGTGGATTGTGGCGTGGAATGAGGGTAGTGTGAGGGTTGACGTGATTGTGGGTGGGTTGGGGTATTTGGGATAGATCCGCAAGCGTGGAAAGCAATAGGGAGAGCGTGGAGGTTGGATTGTTGTGATGGTTTGGTTGGTAGGTGGGCAGTTGATGAGGTTGGGCGTGGTTGGGGTGGAATGGTGGATGACAGTCAAGAGCGTGAGGAATTTGAACGGTCACAGCATCGGACCGTATCAAATTCACGGTGGCAAGTCGGTTCCTATCGTGAAAGGAGGGGAACAGACGAGAATGGAGGAAGGGGAGTTTTATGCGATCGAGACGTTCGCATCCACGGGTAAGAGTCGGGGATGATAGATTGCGGATTTGGGTGGTTGTGGAAAGGAGGGTAGGTGGATGGGAGAGTTGGAGAGACGTAGAGTGGAAGGTGTTTGGGAGAGGAATGATGGGATGGGGGTTGGTGGCGCAGGGAAAGGGTACATCAGGGAAGATCTGGAGTGCAGTCACTACATGAAGAACTTCGATGTGGGTCATGTGCCTCTGCGGTTACCGGCTGCAAAGAAGCTGTTGGCAACAATCGACAAGAACTTTTCAACGCTAGCGTTTTGCCGGCGTTATCTTGACCGGCTGGGAGAGACGAAGTACCTGATGGCATTGAAGAATTTGTGTGATCAAGGAGTTGTGCAGGTTTGTTCCGATGTGTTGTATGGTAGCGTCATATGTGTATGTGTGGTTTGAAACTTTGATGGTGGAGTATATTTGATTCACTGGTTTGTTCTGTAGCGTGCTATTTCGTTGGGGCGATCGTAAATTTAGTTGAAATTTTGATGAAGCCAATAATGTTTTGTAATGATTGCGCCTGGCGTATTGAGATATTCTATGTCAGGACATGTTTTGGTCTTTTTACTGTGTTGATACCTCCATTTGAAGCTCTCCGATTTCTTTTTATTTTTTGTCTAGTCTCTTTCGTATCAGCTTGGTTAGTCGTTTTCATTGCGCTGTTTACAAAGGTGAACTTTAAAATTGGAAGCACTGCTGAGGAATTTGTAATGTTGTTGCCTGTGTTTGCAGCCATGCCCTCCTCTGTGCGATGTGAAGGGAAGCTATGTGTCTCAGCACGAGCACACGATATTTATGCGACCAACGTGCAAGGAAGTTGTGTCTCGAGGAGATGACTTCTGAGAGTTACAATGTTATCTTTGGGGTTGTTTATAGTGTCGATATGTAGTTGCCGTGCTTGTATGTTAGGTGCCCAAAATGTGGGTTGTGTCTTGGTTCGGCAGCTTCTAATCTTCTGAACAATACAGTTCTCAGTATACGTGATATTTTACCTGGTATATGTGCTCATTGCAAAAGAGCTGTTTGTTTTTTTCGTAGTTTTTTGGGATCAAGGGCCGATGCCTAATGCGTTTTCACGTGTCATTCCTGGTTATGTCGTTCCTCTTAGTCACTGGTCCTGTGGGATTTATGTCCTGCAGCGTGTTTAAATCCCAACCGGTGTAGAAAGTGCTTTATGGTTCTCCTCACGGATCATGAAGTTTAAAGAAGTGTTACGATCTTTTTCAAACCTCGCCCATAACAGCGCATCTGCTAGTATCCCATTCTGCCACACCTCATTTGTATTTAATTTTCGCTTAAAAGTTTAGTTGATAGCAGACTTTACACTTTTGCTGTGATGACATCACAATGGAAGCTTTACAAGTATCATGATTCTAAACTTCTGATTCCTAACTTTTGTGCTTGTCAGGACCTATTTACAGTATTGATTTTTTTGTTCAAATGAGGTTAGTTTGCTGAAATTTTACCCACTTTACCCTCTAAATTACCAACACTTACAGCTTCGCAAACTGGCCTCATTTTGACAGAAAATTACACTATATATGAGCACTAGCAGCCGCTGAGGTTAGGACTCAGAAGTAAAAAATTATGATACTTGTGCAGAGTGTGTTGTGTGGGCACTGTAGTTTATCAATGCTTTCTATCCTGTTTGGGAATATGGTTGAGCAAGTAAAATATGATAATAACAATCTTATATAATACCAGAAAAAGAAGAAGTTAACTTTATAATATTTAGACTTTCTTTAATAATTATTTTTTTTTTTAATTTTTTTTTTGATTTTTTTCTTGAGACATTAAAATATATACAAGTTAAAAACTAACCCATAATAATTAAGGTTCTGTTAAGATTTTATGATAATAATAGTTTGTGCAAAATTAAATGAAAATAAAAACACATATATAATGAACCTTCAAGGAAATATATAAAAATCTACATACAAAATACAAAAAAAGAACATACATAAATTTTGTTTATCATAAACACTTTCTTACACAAAAGCAATTATTGTGAATACATGATAACTATGAAGTTAAAACTAATAAAATCCTAAAACATTATCCTAAAAGATTGTTGATTAGACCAAAGCTTCTTTCAATCACACATTTATTCATATGAATTATGAACAATAAAATATTACATCAATTCTATTTTTTGTAATAATAACATGGTTTTAAAAGAAGCTAGGAATACCACATGTTCTTTCCAAATAGATAATTTAAACATATAGAGAGAAACTTTTAAATATTGGAATCAATTGTCATATCTATCATTATGACCAAATCCTACTATTGAGACAATGTCATCAAACACCATGTTGTATTACAAATATAATTAATGATAAAAATTTGTCAAAGTTAAGCTGATAAGTTTAGTTAGAATTAATCTCCCACTTATGTTAAATTTATAAGGTTGATGACTTAAATAATGACTTTTTTAATCTAGATAATGAAGTGTCAGCTTTTATCTTTTCATAATATCAAAGTAATAGTAGTACTTTGGATCTTGTCAAGTTTAATTTTTACGAGAACAAAAAATTAATAGGAACTAGAAACTATCCTATCTAGTACTTTATAATTTGTCAAATCCTACAAGCTAATAATATTTGGAACATCTACATTATTAAGAAGGTTGTTGTTGGTCCAAAAAAGTACAAAGCTTCTTGCTTTGGAGATTTTTCTTGCTCATGTATGTTTTTAACTTGACAAAACAATTACACTCTAAGTCTCATAACCATAGCTTTTATAGACACCAAGTTTTGACCCCTTAAGTTATTGCCTTTGACTTGCAAACATGTTGGACCTTCTTTGCTTTAGCACATTGTTTCTCCTTGACTTCGTTAGTTTTTGCTCTTAAACTTTCAACACAAGTAGATAAACTTGTCTTAAAGACTATTCCAAAAGTTTGCTCTAATCAAAGATTCCAATTAGTCATAATAGATCCTATTTTAAGACCCAAAGCTGCCTATTTTATTAGTCAAAACAAAAGATATAACAATAATGTCTTTTGAGCATCTCTTCACTCTCTTAAGTTACATTGATACCTCAAAAATATTACTAAGAGGTCTCCAAGATGTCTTCAAGTTAAAAATCCATTATATGCGATCTATCTTATCCTTATCCTAATGCTCACTATCAACCTTTTTTCTTATCAATGTAATGGCTAGTCTTCTACTAACAAACAAAAAAGTACATAAATTAAAACAAGGAAATGAACTAAAATAATACTCTATTAATATCAATCTAATTGTATATTTAAGGTATGCACAATATACATGAATATCTATTGTTTAACTATTAAACAACCCACATCACAATAATCCACATATTGCATCATTAACTGATTAATCTTTTGGGAGATCTATTGGATTCAACTCCACAACTAATAGAGCTTCTTTTAATCTTGTTGTTGTAGCTGTTGTCATTGCAATTGTTGTAATCATTGCCACCAATGTACAAACAATACCAATAAAAAAAGAACATAGTGGTTATAATTATTACTACTACTATTTCTAAGAAGATAGTTATTGTCAAATGGTTTAAAGCCAATTCATTTGCTATCTTCTTCAAGCTCAAAAAACAAATTAAAGTCTTCAGCAACAAAAATGAAAATTAACATTTGGAATGAATTTCTTTTTTTTTCATAATGACAAGATGCATGATTATAGAAGAATACTTGCTCCAAGTCAAAGAAATTGTCACCAAGCCAGCAAATATTGGTGCAGATGTTTAAAATAGCTTCCTTATATTCATTATTTTTAATGGTCTTCTATCCAATTAGATATTATTTAAGGCCAAATACAATACTATCATGAAGAGCAAGCCTAGCTAAATATACTTGGATTTTGAAGAATTTGCTCAAGCAATACATCTTTAGTAGAAATCAAACTAACAAAAGCGACATTGATTTTATTAATCAAATATAAACTACATGTGATCTCTTTTTTTTGTAATAAGCCTAAACAATCAACATAAATAACCATAATATGATACTGTGGTTCATCTATTGTTTTTTAATGCTTACATTATAATTGTTGCTACTACAATTAAATTAATCATTAAATTAAAAAAAAAACTATTCTATTATTCTCTATATTAACAATTTATTTTTTATATTGGTAAAAATGCCATCTACATCTATTTCATCAAAACTTAGATGTTTCTCAAGTATAAAATGAATGAACATGGCATAATCTCTTTTTACCTTAGAGTAGGATTTCAGTTCTTTGCTTTAGACATCATGATACACCAAAAATTGTATGTGCATCAAATTTTACTTAATACTGATATGATTGATTGCAAGCTTACTTTGACTCTACTTTTAGAAGGTTTCTTTCTTTCTACTATGACTAAGATGTTAAATATCAATTAAAGCATATATTATTATAGAATTAACTATCTCCACTACTTAGTGAATACTTGATCCAATCTAATCTATTGAATGGACTTTATTAATTGCTTCATGACTCATCTCTAAGAAACTTGCTTGACTATATTTTTTGATACATCAATGCTCAATATCCTTTAGTAAATACTCAATACATTAATAGTCAATACATCAGTGCAACATACTCTTTGATACATTCAATGCTTCATTAACTTTGGAATTGTGTATTCTAAAGAAGCAAAAATTTACTTACACAGATTCTTATATCCAAAAGCTACTCCAATGTTGATTGGAGTGCTTGCAAAGATACTTGCCAAATTATCAATGGTTTTTATTTTATTTATTTAAAAAAATCTTCTTTGGCAGTATAATCTCTTAGGTTAATAAAAAAAATTAATTTTTTGTCTATGAACTATTAAAAATGAATATTGAGCCCTTGCCAATAGTGCTTGCAAAATAATTCACTTCAAATAACTTCTTACCAATTTATTATTACTTCTTTCTACTTCCATCTTAATTAATTAATTTGACTTCCTAGTCTATTCTATCATTTCTTTTACTTCTTATCTATCTTTTTAAAACTACATATGAATAATAATAATAACTTGTATGTAAATTTTTTTTTTGTAATTTATATTGATATTAGATAAAAATATAATTTATATATTATTGAAGAAGATGTAACCAAAAAGATTGCAACTCCTTAGTAGGATGCAACTTTTATAATAGATTGTTTATAGTGTATAGTTTGGTTATTTAAACTTTATATTCTAATATGCTTGCTTAATTAAATTATAGTAAGGGTAGCATTTTTCTTCTAAGTAAGTCTAATATGAAGAGATACTATATAAGCTTTGGCTTCAAAAGTGGTTTGATAAAAAAAAATCAACATACATCTCAATGATTGAATAATAGTAAAATTAGACTTTTTGAGCAGTAACAAGTTATTGAATAAAATGGTACCAAATCATGATATGCTTGGTTTGCAAATGTAATTTGGTTATATCAATAAGGATGAGGGCACATTGATTGTTGTCATAAATGATCATCGATATTTTTAGGATTTTGAGTTGAAGCAAATCATAAAGCAAATACCACAACAAGACTATCTTAGAGGCCATTATGGCTATAGGCATTTACTTAGCCATAGTGCTCAAGAATGCTATAGATCTTTGATGGGATGTATTCTAATTAATGATAATCTATGATAAAACAAAACAATATTTGGATGTTGACATTCTTTTGTCAATCTCATTAATTTAATTAGAGTCATTGAATCTATATAATATATGCAATATGAGAGAACTGTAGTGGTATTCTAAGCATAAACCAAGTGAATTATAAAATCCAATTGTGAGTGAAATCTCATGTAATTTAGAGGCTTAAAATGTGATAATTTTTTCTTTAATTAGAAAATAAAAATTAAGAATGAATTTTTTGCTTAATTATTTGAAAAAAAGCTAGATTGCTGCTAGCAATGAGGGTGTCATTGACTTAAAATATTAATATGGAAAAATTTAGATTACAATTGATATAATAAATATTTCTATTGGTAATTGAATTGAACAAACCAAGGGTAGTTAAAAATATATTGATTATCTTAAATCACTTGCAGAGAGGTTATTTTCAGCCATATATTATTTTTTAAAGTTGACATATCATACTAGGACAAAGAAAAGAAATTCCTTTTGGAATCTACATATAAATTTCTTCTCGAAAGAATCTTTTAAGATAAACAATTTTGACGTCTATTTGGAAGACATGAAAATCAAGTTGAATGGCTAGGATAAAGATCAATCATATAGATTAATTACAAACCATCAAAGAAAATATTTCATTATAATTAAGGCTTAATTGAAAGTACAAGAAATAAAGGAAGCTTTGAATTTGTTGACTATGCTTGTGCTTTTGAGCTTAATCTTAAAAATCTATTTACACA